GCGATCCAGTCGCTCCCACAGCTTCTGCTTCATAAGAAGTCCAAGAGTTTTGCTGTAAGGTCGAAGACGGCCGTTCTTGTACCGCAGCATGTCGTCTACCACAGAGTGATAGAGCGACTGGTACTGTGGCACTGAAAGCTGGTGGATCATAGGTGGGCCGTCTTCGAGCAGAGGAGCGATGGAGGGCTGGGGACCGGGGAGCACAGAGGAGACCGTTGGTAGCTGGTCAGCTGGAATTGTGGCCCGAGGCCTGAGGACCAGAGCAGGAGAGTCAGCATCGTTGGCAGGGTGCTGAGGAGCAGGAGAAGAGGAAGGAGGGGCCACGGAGGTCCGCTTCCTCTTCCTGGACGGTTCAGCAGCAGGAGCTGCGTGGTGGTGGTTTGAGTCCTGAAAGAACACCAACAAACAAAAACATGTCAGGCTCCAGTTGAGTTCACAGAGGCATACTTTTACAATCTCAGGAGGAAATTTAAACTGCATGCAGAAACTATTTGGTTTCAGGTAGATTTAAGTGTTAGGATTTCTGTCAGACGTTCAGGTGACTTAATTTGTGCATATTTTGATAAATATGAATTGGCCTGTTTTAGGGATGCAGTTGATCAAATGCTGATTTATATTCAGACTAGTCGACAAGTTTAAAGACAAGATAACACTCATTGAAATGTCAATATTGAGCACGTTTATGCAATACTGCTAAACAGGAGATCACTGAGCAATTTTAAATGTTCTTAATTTTCTGGTAGTTGACTTTAACACTTGAGAAAGTTGGAAATTATTTTCTCAAAACATGAAAATCAAATGTCTTACCAGGTCGTTCCTGCAGCACGAACATCGAGTGAAAGCTCGAGGCTTTCTCTCGGCCAGGCGTGATGAGACTCTCACTGTCTTACAGTAGTCATGGTCCTTCAGGTGAACGGGCACAACACGCTGTAACAACACAGACACAGAACAACACTTCAGAAATACAGTCAGTGCAACAACAACACTTCATGATGTCACATTAATAATGTTCTGCAAATGTTAATACAAGACTTTTTGAACTCATCTAACACATAATGTTAAAATAAATCATTCAGAATAATCACTCTTTCTATACAAAGCTACTTTCTAAACTCCGTTACAATGTGCTTTACAGCGACAACAAACTGCTGCAGATGTTGGACATCATTCAGTATTTTTAATTTTTTCTCAATTCTTCATGAAGAATGTTTTAGAGCACAAATTTATATTTTGTTTTTATAAAATAATGATTTGAAAATAGGGCCTGTGTCTTAAAGATAGCATCACTGTAATTAACTTATTTTATTTCGTAAACAGAACAGAGAAATGATCCAGTAAAGTTTTGACTGTCTGCATCATAACAGATCAGATCATTAAAACATTAAATCTCACATTTTTCATGATGAACATTTGTAAAGTTGATCTCTTAAATCTCTGAGTCTTTAGTTCTTGTCAGGATGAAAATTAACTTCAATTAATTATTTAATTTATAAATGTTTTTTTACTGTGAAACTTGTGAAATTCTTCTTGTGACTCTTTCAGGTTTTTTGTTTGTTTAAACGATCTGATATAAATGATGTACTTTGGGGGTAACCATAGCAACCAGTGAGTATTTCGGCCATTTTGTACATATTTGTACTTTTACAATGGACACACAAATTGATCCATAAACATAAACAAAGATTTTTTTAAATAATCTGCACACACAAACAGACAGTCCCATAATTACTAAAACCCTCCAATGTATGAAACAATTATATTACAGTTTAAAATGAGAAAAAAACTGAGTGAGACTGATGAGTCTGAAACATGTCAGTACTGAGCTCCTGTTTTCACCTGATGTTTGTTATATAATCATTTTATTTCTGAACAGTAAATCCCCCAGAAGAAACTAATGAAGTGAAATGTCCACTCAATAGTATTTCTGACACTTATCTAATGACACTTATCTGTTTGGGAATTATAAACTGTAACAAATATCTATAACACACATTTTATTCATGGCTAAATTTCATTCATGGCTGTGTCTGATGGGATTTTATTTTCTTTAATGAACCATTTATTGAATATGTGAAAAGATTTCAAATATTATTGAAGTATTCAAAGATTTATTTTAAATCTGTTTCAATAAATGGATGAAAAGAAATGTGGTGCAGTCTAGTTCAGACAGTTTAAACTTTACAGTAAACAGCAGAGAGTCAAAAAGTGAAAATCTTACATTTTCCATGACACAAGTTGGATGTTTGGCTCGTGTCAGTTTAAGAAAATCTTTGGTCCTTCTTAGGGTGGAAAAAATCTGCAGTTTGAGCGTGATTTTCAGAGGAAATCGCTGATTTCAACTTGAGAACAACTTTCTGTGGCTGTCTGAGAGTTTGTTTGAGTTGAAATGATGATCTGATATGAATGATGCACTTTAAGGGGAACCATGGCAACCATAGAATGTTACACGACCATTTTGCACACATGAGTTTTTACAGTCTCCTCTCATCTCTAAAGTTTACTTTCTTTATAAACAAAGCAGAAAGGATCAAACTTTCACACAAATAGATCGCTCCTTGATAAAAAAAAAAACAACTTAAATATATTCTTGAACTATTATTGTTGTTTTCTGTCCTCAGCAGAAAAAAGAATAACAAACAGATATTTTGTATTTTCTGTTTTATTGGGCTTACTTCCTCATTTACATTTAACATGATCTTTAAACAGGAACAGCACCCCCCATGTTCATGAAATCTATCACCAGTTTGAAGATCAAATAGTATTTCATCATGTTTTGATTTCATCAACAGATGACCTGCCCCTTTGGGATCACCTTCATTTCATTACCTTCAAGACATTAATTCATTTGTCTTTTTCGCAACAACTCGTAGCCTGATTTAATTTGATCAAGGTCGAGTCAGAGTTTGGCTTTTCACAGTATTTTTAAACAATTGTATTTTTCTGAAGCGTACAGTTTAGACCAATCACCTCAGAAAATTGTGTCTTCTTCAGCAATTAATGAAACAGCTATGAAACTGAGTGTTCATAAAATACTGACCTATTAAATTAATTCAATCATCTTGAGCTTGTATAGAGCTTTTCTAGTCTTCTGTCTAATCAAAGCACTTTTACGCCGCTGGTCACACCTTCCCATTCAAACACTGATGGCAGAGGCTGCTGTGTAAAGTGACCATCAGAAGTAACTACAAATGATCTCTACGCAGACGAAGCAGCGGGAGAAACTTTGGATTATTAGTGTCTTGTCCGAGGACAGGAGGGCTGCAGGAGCTAGGGATCGAACCCCCGACCTCCCATTTCAGAGATGACAGACTCTACCAGCTGAGCCACAGCCTGAGATCAAGTCTCACCACTGATTAACCTCCACAAAGAAGATAAATGTTGTTTTTAAACTGGACAGATGTACACTTCATTATGATGTCCATCAGTGTGCTGCTGCGAGGTGCAAACAAGTCCGCCTGCAGACTTCTCTGCTCATCACTGGAAACACTTCTTGATTGCTTTGCTTGGTATGGTCTTCATAAGGTAGAAGTAAGCAAAAGAATATTCCGATTATAATTCATGTACAACAACTTAGTAACTTACTGTAATAAGCAGTAATTCGGACGGGAGTGAGGGTAAACGCTTAGTTAATGGCCTTAAGCTATAGACTATGGTCATGTAGAATAAGGTAATGAGAAGCACTTAATTATGACTAATAAGCAGCCAGTGTGCTACTAGTTTGCATGCTGATAAGCAGCTAGTTAATGAATATTGTGACTTTAATTGAAAGTTATCAAAAGTATACGTTTAGAATTCATGACGTGAAACAGTGAACATACAAAGTGTTATGAGCTTCATGCAGTTATAGTTTTGCGGTGAAGGCACAGCAATTTTGTTGAAGTATGGCGGTAAATGTAAACTTGTGTTACGGTTTTGTATTTAGACCCAAAAGCAGACACGGCAGCGAAAATTGAAGGGTTTGGGGTTTTATTGCAGGGCTTGGTATAGGTGGATGGCTGGCTGGCTGGCTGGTAGTGACGGCGTGGAGGAGACGTAGGCAGGCAGGTAATTGGTTGATTGTCTGACGATGAAGCAGACTGGAGGAGATGACACCGGTGAAAATCTGGACAACAAGAGAGATGATCTGTGAGGACTCACTGGAAAAAATACTAGGAATAAACTCTAACAAATGTTAAGAGCAGCCGATCACAGCTACCACTTCAGTAGACTCAATAATCTGACCATGAGTCGAGGTGAAACCAGGGTCTTGGCCTGAGGCAGATGGGAAGATGAGTTGCAGGTATGAGTAGTCACCAGGTGTTTGATTGGAGCCACGCCCTCCAGACACACACACACACACACACACACAAACAAAGGGGAAGGAGACACAAGGGATACACAGAGAAACAGGATCACAGCCAGAGCCGTGACTCTTTGTATTGTACTTGTAGAGTAAATAGCTGCACTTTCCCAAACCAGGAAAAGACGAGGTCAGATTACAAATTCATACTGTGTGTTTTCCTCTTTTAAAACTGCAAAATAAAACATTCAGTTTAAAATAGGAAAAATCAAGTGAAGCTTAATGTGGTTTTTGATTTTCCTTTAAATAAATGTTGTGCGTTAGCGCCCTCTACTGGCCCAAGCCTTTAATTACTGAAGACAATCTAAATCGTCTCTTCCACACTGATAATTGAACTCTGTGAAGCTGAGGATACTGCCGTACTTTACCGTAATACTTTGACAACATCAAGTTCAGAATACTGCTTTACTTTTACATTTACTGGGGAATACTGCTGTAATTTGACAAACACATTTCAGAAGTAGACTTTTTAATGTCAATAAGTAACCTTTTTTTTTTTTTTTTTTTTTACATTATTATACATATATATCCATCTTAAAGAAAGTATATGATCTGAATACTTCCATGTTTAGTCTGACAGCAGGCAACTCATCTTTTGCGGTCAGTAAACAGAAGTGTTTTTTGGTTGTTATGATCAGCTGACTTTGCAGCTCCGCTTCTGTCACATGACATCCGTTTCCCATGTTGCTCTCCGACAGATTCTGCTGAACTTACAACTGGATCTAGTTCCAACTCTATAGAAGTACATTACCTCAGCAAAAAAAAATTGCCTTTTGTTATTTAGTTAGTATTTGTTTGCTTTTTATACAAAAAAAATGTAGACCTATCAGGAAAAGGGGAATGTACGGTCACAGAACTCGGTTGAAAAGTATCGTACTTTAATGGGAGGTTGTATGTAGGAAGCGACATGATGATTGTTGGGAACGGTAAAGGCTTACTTAAATAGGACTCGTATTGTGCATTTTGTGTATGCCGAAGTGAAAACGGGACTCTAACAAAGCTCTGACTACTTTCCTTTTCCATTTCAAAGGTAGGTAAAGTAGATTAGAGCGAGGGACAACTTAAATTGTCTGTTTCTTAATGGACTTTGGCGTTGTGCATTTTCACCCTGGTGCCAACAACAGCCAGAAAGTAAGACAGACTGGTGATATTGTACGTGAAAAGGAATTGATAGACGACGGAAATGTTGACGTATTACAGCTAAATTCAACTTATTTTACTCTTTGTTTAAACGTGCTGAGAGCTGAATGAAGCAAAGGTCGAAGTCAGCTGCTGCACCCTTAAAGATAAGATATCACATTATCATTTGATCCTCATGCATCTTTGATCAGATACACACTGCTGGTTGTAAATAGAAAAGAAAGTAGACATATCGTACTTCTCCATAATGTTCCTCTCAAGGCCTGTAATATATTTTGAATGTATTGCAACTTAGATGATAGAATTCAAATCACAGTAGTTTTTGTTATTTCTTATTAATATAAAAATGGTGTAAATTTTGGGGAAACCATGTAGGTCCGGCTAGGAAAATAAATAAAGTTAAAGGTGTGTGTATGAGAGTAAACTTTATATCTCCAGATTTCAGGCTGTCACTGTAGGTTTTGGGACACTTTTGGGACCTTGAGTCTAATAATAAAAGTTGATGATGATGATGATTGTGAAGGATGTGCTGAGTGTGATTTTTCGCTTTTTCTGTATCGAATAGGAGCGTTTGATTTGTTCTGCTGAGGCTTCCTCCAATGATCTGAAACAGAGCAGAAAGAGTTGGTCTCCGAGAGAGAAACATGCCGTCTAACAAGTCGGTGTCTGACGCTCCCATCACTCAGTTCGTCAACTGCAGAATCCTAAGAGACCACCGGCTGCAGAGGTACAACACAGACACACACACAGACACACACACAATTACACACAGACACACTCTCAATGCTGTCACAGTTCAGGCTAAGGTGTTGGTGTGTGTGTGTGCGTGTGTAGAGAGGACCTGTGGGTGCGTGACGGGAGGATTTTAGACCCAGAGAAGCTGTTCTTTGATGAGCAGGGATACGCTGACAAACGTGTGGACTGTGAAGGCAGCATCATCGCCCCGGGGTTCATAGACACCCAGATCAACGGTAACACACACACACACACACACACACACACACACACACACTGTCTAATACCATCATATTTTGCTGCCTTCATCTGCCCAGATCTGAAACACTAAGTCATTTAGTGCTTTTGATTTATGGCTGCAGCAAACTTTCAATCAATCAATCAGTTGTTATTTATACAGCGCCTTAAACACTGTGTCTTGTGTTGTGATTATTTTTTGCTTCTTCTGCACTTGTATAATGTATTTTGGTTGTGTTTTTGCAGGGCACTATTGTGAATGAGATTTTATTCTGTCTAAAGGAAATAGTTCATCCTGTTGTGAACATGAACCTCTAAGTCATTCTCACACTATGTTTTTTTATTACATCCAAGCATATGCTTTGGGCAAAACAAATTAATGGTTTTTGTTGCCGTCTAGTTTTGTTTAGCATCTTACCACTGTCTGTGTTTTTTGGACCGTGACGTTCGACATCTTCTCACCATTCTGATCCCCTCCAGGAGGATATGGCATCGACTTCTCTCAGGCCTCTGACGACGTGGGAAGTGGAGTTTCTTTTGTGGCCAAAAAGATCATAGAGCACGGCGTGACATCCTTCTGCCCCACCCTGGTTACCTCTCCCCCGGCTATCTACCACAAGGTGACCTTTGACCTTTATTGAGACTCCAAATATGTTGTAATATGTCAAATATGTTCCAAGTTTTTTGCAAAGATAATTATGTGCAGGTTCAAATTATGTCTAAAGAGCACACAAAAACTTCTAGTATAAAAAAATGTATCTTTAATAAGTGTTAAAAACACTTATTTTAGGACTGATGACTTCATATGACCATCAAAAACAAACCAGACCGAGGCGCTGGATAGTCTAGTGGTTATGTTGCGCGCCCCATGTACGGAGGCTGTAGTGTTCGTCGCAGTGGTCATGGGTTCAAATTCAACCTAAGGTTTTCATAAAGTTGTATTAGCATTGTGCAAATAGATACTAGTAAAGAATAGCAATCTGTTTTCAATAACATTAAAAAAAGAAAACAGCCAGCAAAGCCTTTAACCACCAGCTACACTGGTGTCATTACATGTTAGCAAGCATTTCCTTAAAGCAACAACAACGAACTTCAGAGACGTTTATTTGATGATTCTTAATGATGATAAATCACGGGCTGTTTAAACTGTATTTTCTTGTGTTTGTCTACCTCTAATAATGTCGAGCTCACTAACCATCAAACTGTGTGTTACAGGTTCTGCCTCAAGTCAAAGTTCACAATGGAGGAAAACATGGAGCTGGAGTTCTCGGTACGATTAAATTCAAATGTCTTAGTACAGCTAAGGGCCCCTGATAATACTGAACGTCATCGCTGAAGGTGTCACTTGTTTGGAAGAGACTTTTCAACAAGACGTCATAGATTGGTTTATTGACTACAGCTTTGCGATCCGTGGGCATATTGTTATCTCTGTGCAGGGGTCCATCTGGAGGGTCCGTTCATCAGTGCGGAGAAGAAAGGAGCTCACCCAGAGCAGTTTCTCCGTACCTTCCGCTCAGGTGGACTACAGGACCTGATGGAGGCCTTCGGCAGCCTGGACAACGTTGCCATGGTGACGCTGGCTCCTGAGCTGGCCAGCAGCCAGTCAGTGGTGAGGGAGCTCTCTCAGCGAGGTGTCACTGTGTCCTTAGGTGAGCATAGTTTTACTCCAAACAGACCCAGATGAGACGGCTGATACTTCATGATCTGACTCTCAGGATCTTTTTTTTGCTCCTTCTTGTTCTTATCATGCAGGTCACTCTGTGGCCAACCTGTCCCAGGCTGAGGAAGCCGTACAGCACGGAGCATCCTTCATCACTCACCTCTTTAACGCCATGCTGCCTGTGAGTAGCCAACTGGTTCTCTTTTAGACCCTGTATCTAATGATCATGTTTGCACAACACTCAGATACGAATTGTGCAACATTTCAAAGCACACCGAGCTGCTTCTTGTCTCCGATAACTGCAAGCCCAGCAGTTACATTCTCCTTGTAGTGTTGGTTATTATTTTAAATGAAGGAATTTTCTTATATTTCTCCTGCGATGTGATCCAGTTTCACCATCGTGACCCCGGCATAGTGGGCCTGCTG